GTTAGAACTGGTGGGATGTGGGCTAGAACTAACGTGGAACCTATAATTAACAACTTAGCATGAAAAAAACAAGGGTTGTGATTAGAACTAGCAAGATGTGGGCTAGAACTGGTGAGATACAAGTTAGAACTGGTGGGATATGGGCTAGAACTAACGTGGAACCCAGAATTAACAAATTAGCATAAAAAAACAAGGACTTTGATTAGAACTAGCAAGATGTGGGCTAGAACTGGTGGGATACAAGTTAGAACTGGTGGGATGTGAGCTAGAACTAACGTGGAACCCAGAATTAACAACTTAACATGAAAAAAAACAAGGTATTTGATTAGAACTAGCAAGATGTGAGCTAGAACTGGTGGGATACAAGTTAGAACTGGTGGGATGTGGGCTAGAACTAACGTGGAACCCAGAATTAACAACTTAGCATGAAAAAAACAAGGGCTTTGATTAGAACTAACAAGATTTGGGCTAGAACTGGTAGGATACAAGTTAGAACTGGTGGGATGTGGGCTAGAACTAACGTGGAACCTATAATTAACAACTTAGCATGAAAAAAACAAGGGCTTTGATTAGAACTAGCAAGATGTGAGCTAGAACTGGTGGGATACAAGTTAGAACTGATGGGATACAGGTTAGAACTTGTGGGATGTGGGCTAGAACTAACGTGGAACCCAGAATTAACAACTTAGCATGAAAAAAATAAGGGCTTTGATTAGAACTAGCAAGATGTGGGCTAGAACTGGTGGGATACAAGTTAGAACTGGTGGGATGTTGGCTAGAACTAACGTGGAACCCAGAATTAACAACTTAACATGAAAAAACAAGGGCTTTGATTAGAACTAGCAAGATGTGGGCTAGAACTGGTGGGATACAAGTTAGAACTGGTGGGATGTGGGCTAGAACTAACGTGGAACCCAGAATTAACAACTTAGCATGAAAAAAACAAGAGCTTTGATTAGAACTAGCAAGATGTGGGCTAGAACTGGTGGGATACAAGTTAGAACTGGTGGGATGTGGGCTAGAACTAACGTGGAACCCAGAATTAACAACTTAACATGAAAAAAAACAAGGTATTTGATTAGAACTAGCAAGATGTGAGCTAGAACTGGTGGGATACAAGTTAGAACTGGTGGGATGTGGGCTAGAACTATAGTTTTGTGCCGACTTCGCACGCACTTTCTGATCGTCTCCAATCTCCGTTTTCGCCGATTTCTTCTTTGGTGAGTAGCCCTACATGTTGCCTATCACCTCCAATTTGTATCACGCTCTAACTCATTCTCTATATCTCTCGGTAACATCCGAAACATCGCTCGGCGGCAGCAGCGAGCAGAAAACAGCAGCGCCGTGCCGACTTCGCGCGTGTTTTACGGCCACCTCCGGTCTCCGTTTTCACTACCGTCTGCGCCGGTGTGTAGCCCTTTATATTGTCTATCACACGGTATCTTTCTTTCATTTGGGCTCATTTTCTACCTCTCGTTATATTGTTTCGAATATCGCTCGGCGGCACCGTGGCAATTTCATTCATAGAGATACATTAATACACATTTTCGTTATTTCTTAATTACGATATTTCTCTTCATTCCCCTTCTACTCTACTTCTCCTTACCTTTCTTTTTTTATTTTTTTTATTTTCTTCTTCTAGCTAATAGATTAATGCTCTGTGCGTCTCGCCAGGACGACGAGCTTAATAAAGCTCTTAGTTTTAGAGAGAGGTGAGAGAGAGAGAGAAAGAGAGAGGAGATGAGAGAGAGAGAGAGAGAGATGAGAGAGATGAGAGAAAGATGATGTGAGTGCTGGGTCAGAGAGGAGAGAGGATAAGGACAGTTTGGGAATTTTACTTTAGCTAGCATGTGATAATTAATTAAAATGGGCTGCAGTACAAAGTGTCACACTTCAAGGGGCTGATCCACATGGGGAAAAAATATGAGGGGCTTTGTCACATGAAGTTTTTGCTTTTGGGGCCTGGACACATTTTTCCCAAATTAAATTGTAAACCAACTATAACAGCCGTGTGTGCAAAGCATCAAGTGGGGTGTAAATAATAAGCTCGGTCTTAATAAAAAATTCGATACACATGAGGGTTAAATTGCAAAAAAGATACTTGAGTGGCTCCATTAATTTGTCCACGCTCATGCATATGTGGGTTTCACCACTGAGTATATCTATTAAATGCAACAAATAGGAACCTTGACAGGAATATATATATACATCGCTCTGTGAAATCTTGACAGGAATAAATGCAAGTTACACCAATTTATTAAAAGCACATTAAATATGATTGAGTTCCAAGCTCAAAATTTCCGCTCACACCTGACTCGTGTCCTTCAAACACTAGCATTAAATGCAACAAACAAATACAGGAGTTAAAGACCAATGCGTAATCCGACATCAGTCACATCACCACACGATTATCCCTGTAGAAGAACACGGGTTTGTATTAATGGGCCTCCGTGTTAGCTTCTTCTGATTTACGACGTGTTAACTACGACATTTATTTTTTGTAGGTTACTTTTCTAGGGAGTGCAACACTAACATTAACGATTAAATGCCGGGGACGCCAAATAGGAGACTGGGGGGGGGGGGGCATGTGAGCTGTCCCCCCCTATTTGGGTCCCTGTAGAAGCGCCGCTAACATTAATATGGGAAAAGGAAATCTTGACGTCCACGTTACTTCGCTTTTATGATTCCACAACATATATTAGGGTCTTTCATCGATGTTTCAAATTAACTCATACTTAATGCGTCTACTTCACAGTAAGGGTAATTTTTTTCTTTTTTTTCTTTTAAAAAAAAATCCTTTTCCTTATCCTCCTTCCTTCTTGTGTTTTTGTCTAGGATTTTCAGGACCATTAAAGAAATCCTTATGGTTCGAGAAGTTGAATAATTTCCTTCCATCAGATAAGATAACGATAACGGATGGTGGGATCTATCGACGAATAACGCTATACTTTCTTCTTTTTTTTTTCCAAAGAAGAAAAATAACCTCTGAAATGGTTTTTTTTTATTACTATTTTTCATCTTAACTGTCAAATGCTTAAATATCTAGCTCATACCATGTGATGAATCAGTAACCTCCTAATTTACCAAGATCTATCCCGTTTCTTCCGTGCACTTTAGGATAATAGTATAGTTTGTAGATTAATCTGTAAGTTAGATATTTGTACCCTCCTCCATCAAACAATGAAGTATTGAAGAGAGTAACGCATGCTCACGATTTCCTTGCCGAGTCATTGCCGTACGTTTTGTGTTGCTTGCATCTCGAACTTGTGACCTTGGTTGTTAATTAAGAGGCGGATACGCTGCTAATTGTTCAAATTCCTCTTTTTGTGGCTAGTATTAAAGAGTACTTGAATAGCTTTGAATTGTTCAAATTCTTATTTTCAAACTTTTCAAACATTCATATGCTCTATATCAAATATGTCAGTGCAGCATTCTTCGGAATCTAAGAGCAAGTTCATCAAGCTCCCACCGCACCTCCTAAGACTGAGGTGGCGGTGGGAGCTTGCTGGACTTGCTCCAGCAAGCTCCCAAGGGAGCTCTGAGAGCTTCCGTGGCACAAAGCCTAGGGCTTTGTGCCACGGAGCTCCCAAGCGCTCCACAAATTTGTGGAGCGCTTGGGAGCTCCTAAGCCTTAAAGAAATATTTTTTTTACGAAAAAATCCTTGGCCTTTGTATCTTTGCAATAGAAGTGAGGTTTTTTAGATAGAAGAGGGGTTTTTTTGATATTGTTGGAGCTCCTAACTAGGAGCTCGTTGGAGCTCCATAAAATAAGGAGGTGCTCCCAAGGCTTATTTTTATAATTTTTTATTTCAAAATGCTTGAGAGCTTGCTGACTAGGACTCCCAACTGGGAGCTTGATGCACTTGCTCTAAGACATGAAAATTAGATTCATAATATCCAATGAGAATATAATATTGCGAGTACTGGGCAAGTCAACAAATCCGGTTCCATTTAAATTAATTTTTATTTTAATTATTGCTTTTAATTTGTTGATAAGGGAATCTTGGTTAGGGGGAGCTACAAGCATACAACCAACCCAGGTTCGTATCTCAGAGAACCCACCCTCAGACATAGACACTTAAGAGCATGTGCAGCAAGCTTCCAGTTGGGAGTCCTTGATGGAGAGCTCTCAAGACCTCTCAAGACATAGCCCACCATTTTCAATACCACATCACCCTCCTAACTAATGTTGATCTCCAACAAACTCCTAGTTAGGAGCTCCAACAATATCAAAGAAACTCCTCTTCTATTTTAGTTTTGTTACACATTACTTTCAATTATATTTAAACCTCTTTTATTGAGAATTTATAGAATTTTCTTTACTATTCATGCCAATTTTTTAAATCTCAACCGCTAATCAATTTTGAAAAATCACAAATGGTTTTTTTTAACAACTATTTTCAACTTGGGTTCTGGGTTCAAAAGTAGGGGGGTTTTTGTAAAAAAAAATTTTAATGGTTGAGAGCTCTCAAGCACTACACAAATTTGTGAAGCGCTTAGGAGCTCGGTGGCACGAGCTCTCAGGCTCCGTGCCACGCAAGCCCAAGGATAAACCTTGGGAGCTTATTGGCGTCGGCAGCAGGCTCACATTGCCACCTCAGCGTTGGGAACTGGGGTGAGAGCCTGCAGCACATGCTCTAACACACTGCACTTCTCTTAGGACCTCCATCTAACCAAGCAAACCCTAGGTATTGAAGCCCACCTTTAATCCCACGCAAAACCAGGTAAATACGGCCTCAAGAATCAAATAACTGTAAGGGGTTTCTCTTTAGCTGTCCAACCAAAAATTACAGCCGCAACGTGTACACAGCAATGGTGAAATATAGCACACGTACATGAAACCAGGAATCAAATGCATATTGATTACTACATAGAACCTTCCGCAGAATTCATGGCAAGAACTTACCACTCTCTTCGGTGATACGTTTGAGGATATCATGCTAAGAGTAAGTATCAATAATTGTCATTTTGCGCAATAATGCAATAAGATCACACACAGATGAACCCAGGAGACAAATGCTTATTGATTATCCAATATCCTACTGCAAAATTCATAGCTGGCTTACAACTCTATTCCAATGTACATTAGAGGCTACCGAGTTTTAGATTTAACACAATGGGCGCAAACTCCAGGAACAAACCTTTGCATGCTACTTATTCATACACTAACAAACCACAACCTCCAGTCTTTACTACTTCATCAAATCAAGGAGCTGATGGATGCTTTGTCACCGCATGCAATATATCACCATAGCTCACAACACCAACCAACACATCCGCCTCTGAATCCGCCTCCGTTACCCAAACATGGGTTGCTCGATGCGACAACAATTGAGCCATGACCGCCGCCAAAGAGCTTGACTCCTTGCAAGTCAAAGGCACGCTCCTCCCCCTGTACATATTCCTCCTTGCTTTAGGTGTAGGAGGGTTACTGAAGAACCCGATGCTCCTGCTACTGAACTTTTTCGCCCTAGCTGAAGAGGGAGAAGTGCCTGTTTCTTCAAGGGTCGAGAAATTTGGGAGCAAGTCTAGTCCGGAGCCATCATTGTCTTCTGCTCCCATTACAAATTGTCCAGCTGATAGATTCGCCATTGCCCAGGCGGCGGATAAGTAATCAGACTTCCAGAGTTTAAATGACGAGATCTCACCAACTATTTTGTGGGTTCCATCGGGGTTGATCTCAACAACAGCCACAGCACATGGGTCTTGAGGAATTATCTGAATGGCTTTGATGGCAGGGGCAGAGGCTTCAATGTGCGCATAATGAGGTGTGATGGCACCTAGTGAGGAGATGGAGGAGAGAGGGAGAGGAGCGAGAGCGCCGCGATGAGGAATCTGATGATGTCTTCTCGGGAGAGGCAGCAGTATTTGTATTCATCAGAGGGAAGGCGAGAAGATGAGGATGAAGATGGTTGGCCAGCAGCATTTGAGGCATTTGCAGAGTCTTTGAAATTTTTGAGCCATTTGCCATTGTAAAGGATGGAGAAGCGCTTGCTGACACCCCTCCAGGTGAGGCCCTTGCGAACTAGGAGGCGGCGAACACCCTGCTTCATCATCTCCAGTGCATCAATCAACCTTGCGATGCAAAACAAAGAATGAGAAAATGAAGAGAAGCTAATAGCAGAACTAAAACAATAGACCGACTATAAGTAATTCTATACAAAACAACAGAAGCATTAAAGAATCTGTACTATTCTCATGCACCCAGATGTAAAAGACATTTGGATTAGAGGAAAAAAACCAGTATCGAGAATGAGAATATATATAATAGTGGTTAAAGGTGCGGATAATACCAAGAACCAACCAAGGAAATTTGCCCTACAACTTGCAATAACCCACTTGAGTATGGCTCTCAATAGAAAGAAGTAATAGGACCAGGCAAACAAAGACAACTAATTGGAGTATGAGTAATAGTGTACGATTACAAGGATAGTAGATCAATCTTCTAATTTGTTACTCGTTCCTTTGAAACAACATTATATATAAAGCATAGACTTTCTATTGAAAAGGCTCAAAGGAACATTTGAAGAAACCAACTGCAACAGGACATCAAATGTTGGATGCCTGGTGTCAAACTGCTTCATTGTAATCAAATGGTTTTCCTCATTTCTCATGTTTATTTATTGTTATCTCCTTTTAGTGTACCTAGTCTTCTAGTTTTAGCATAAGAGAAAACAAAAACATTAAGAGAGAAATTCTTGAGCTACCGACTTTGAACAAAGAGAAAAAGAATCAGAAATTGGAGTATTTGTATCTATTCGTAGAACTTGCTCGCTATACAACATGGTTAAGACTAACTCGAGCCCATCATAATACAGGAGACGGATAGAATTCTTGCTAGGTAGTAGGGCCTAATTAGCAAACAGTGGTGTTGTCTTCTGGGAGAAACATAAGGTGAGAGATGGTAAGGTTTCAGTTGGAAGTTGTAGTTGGGTAAATGTGTATGAAATGAATGTAAAGATAGAATCAGTTGTTTTTTTATTGTTATTATTTTTCTTAAAAGAATGTATTATTTTATGGGTTAATTGCAAACTGACCCCCAATAGTATCACCCAATTGCAATAGACCACCTCTAGTCCTATTTGTGTGAATAAACCCCTTTAGTACTATTATTTTTTTCTTTTTTTTACTCTTAAAATCGTTAAAAGGTTTGAGGAGGCGGATAAACTGCCTATAGTTCTATTTGTGTGAGAATAGATCCCCGATTGCTTTTTTTTTTAAATTTTAAAAGAGTTGAAAGTTCGCTAAGGGGGTTTATTCACACCTGGGCCTACTACAGGGGGTCTGTTCACCGCAAATAGAACTAAAGGTGGTTTATTTGCAATTGGGTGATACTATAGGGGTCTATTAGCAATTATCCCTTTTTTTTATTGAATGGCATTTTTATGTATTTCTTTCCTTCTGCTTGATTAACCAGTCTTATTATATTTGTGTGTAATTAGGACTTGTTTCCCTATAATTCAGACAATTTATTTGCTTGATTAATTTTTTACTTACTTTGTCAGCCCGTTGTAACGTCAGCAGCTGTAAGCTGGCATTCTCACCATGAATATTTGACATCAAAAGGCACCAATAAGTTTTGTGTGTGCATGAGTGTTACTATATATTTCGCAAGATAAACATAGCCACTAGAAAACATGTATTTTCTGATGATTTCATGTGCAATAAATACCCACTGTAAGGATTTGACTAAATTATAGTGCTATACATACTTTGTCAGCCCGTTGTAACGTCAGCAGCTGTAAGCTGGCATTCTCACCATGAACATTTGACATCAAAAGGCGCCAATAATTTTTGTGTGTGCATGAGTGACATGTATTTTCTGATGATTTCATGTGCAATAAATACCCACTGTAAGGATTTGACTAAATTATAGTGCTATACATACTACAACATTCACTACAGAAAAAAGGATGACTATGTATGGAAAGCAGCACTTTGCATTTCTTCATCACCTTCCAAAAGAAAGTTTAACATGCCAAAATTTTAAAATATCCAGCTTGATGATTTTTTTAGTGCAGTTCATTGATCTGATATCTTTTCATATAATTATAGGCTTTAGATGAACCACGAACATAATACCAATATGTACCCTGCATACTGTTAGCTATTATAAAAGACATGTTTGAGAAGTATGTGAATGGCATCCAAGACTAGAAAAGATAGTGCATACCCCACACATATTTGAATGGCAAAGATAGCACGGTTGTACTATGCACATAACATGGTAGCACTGTGGTACAGAAGAATTTTTCATCTAAAATTTCAGCAGATCAACAAGGTGGTACTACCAAGAATGCAAGTCCTTGAGGTGATGCAACAAAGTTATGGCGGAGAGGGTATTCCGAGATGTTAATGCTTGAAGGGAAAATTTTTAACACATTGAGAAAGGATAGACAACTTGGTTTTGATACTGGTTTCAATCCTTTACTGGAGTTTGGATTCTGGCAGTTTCCACAGACAACCTTACGTATTTACAGATGTAGTATTAATTTGCAGATATAGAATCTAAGAATTAAACCAACAAAAAAGTTGGGACAAAACTCAATCTTGAATGAGTAATCTCTAGATTAAACTATGAATTCTCTTTCTTTTTGTCATTGAGTTGGAAGGATATTGCAGTCAAAAGATGATATTTGAGAAATGATTAAGCTTTGATCCCTAAAGGACAGTCCATGATATAGCAGCAGTAAGATATGCCTCTTCGCTGTGTCCCGAGCAATTCTTTGTTTCCCATTACTGACGCAGTTTTTTTTTCCACCCTCCAATTGTAAATACACGTGCTACCTACTGTATGGTTGGCATTTCAATGCTAACAGATATTGACTGAGTCACTAACCAAAACAAGGAGAGAAGGCAAGGTTAAAAATGAGCAATCAAAAATAGACATAACAAGAACAACAATATGAAAGGTCATATTTAAACAAATAAATCAGAAAATGAAGTTGAGAATGCAATCTCCATACGAAGCCTGTTTTAACAATCATGGACAATAACTGTGATTTGTGTAGTAATAGTCTCCATTCTTTACACCATAAATGAGTGTTTAACCAATTCATTAAAGAATATTTCAATTACTTGCATATTTGGAGATCACAACAAAACATTTCTTTAGTTTTATTTACTCTTTTAACTTTACATGTAAATTTCAACATGCAAATTATAACAAATAAATTCAAAGTTGATGTGAATTATCAAATTTCTGATATATTTGCTTGGAATCAAAGAAACTGGGAAAATGATAGCTTAAGACATCACGACCAAACTACACTTCTGTACGCTGCATATACTAAGGAAAATCCAACTGACAATATGTTTATGAAACAAAATTAACTGTTTGTCATTTTTCAAACGAACTCATGGGTTAAGATCAACACTCGCGTATATCCATTCAAATTGAAATATATTTGACATTCCTTTTATAACTCTTACCATATATTGACTGAATACTGTTGAGAGTAAAGAAAGTTCTGACTCAAAAAACATGACTACAAATCAGTTTAAGTGGTTGGAAAGTATAAATATTCCCGATACTTTTAGGAACAAATAAGCAAAAGACCTGATTGCTTCTTTAAGGGCATCTCTGGAAACTGGAAACTAAATGAAAAGTGAACCAAATTTTGGAAAGAGGCTTTACTTCTCCATTTTTTCTATTTTGCACTTGGAAAGCCATTGAAAGGTGTTGGAAAGTGTAGGGAGCCATGTCAGCATTTTAGCCTCTTTCATTCTCTCAAAAAATTGAGAAAATGGACAGAAAGTTGAAGAATTAAAATTGTAATTATTTATTTATCCTCTCCACTTACCAAAACCAGTTGTTTTATTTATCAGTTTCTAATCTCATCACCCCTCATATTTCTTCCTCATACCAAGCTCAAGCGAGACCCTTCATGGAATAAAGAGAAATTATTTTTTTAATTATTCTTTATCCCCTTCACCTACCAAAACCAGTTCTTTTGTTGTTCAGTTTTTTTATCTCACCATCATCTCATATTTCTTCTTCATACCAAACTTGAGCAACGGCCTGCCGCTTCATATTTCTTTGGGTTTTACCCCACCGAAACTGATTCATAATCAATTGAATCAAGTTGCAGAAAGCAGCAATCAACATCTGATATATTATCAAAGTAAGGATGAAATAAAGTAATGAGCACTACTACTAATTTTACCTTTTAGGACTAGCCCTGTATCACAATAGGCTTTGGTTTGGTTATGTTGAAGGTTTAGTCACTGCCAATAAAAGAATATTTTCGTTTTGTGAACAAGTTCATTATTCTCATTTATTGGGTCTTTGCTTTGTAAAAACAGTCTATGATAAAATATCCATATATGGGAGTTGAGCTATCCTACTATTACTAATATCCAATATTTGGAAACTATTAACCAAATTTAGAACTCGGATGCAAAAATTGAAAATCCAAAATGTTGGATATGATCAATTACACATCAACCATCAAGTAATAAATATCAAGGGTAAATTTTCAAAATATTTCTACATTTTTTACTAGTATAGCATGTGTTGTCAAAGTCGATGTTTCAAAGTTTTTGTAAATTTGATTATTTTTCTCCTTGATACATGATTCGAAAAACATCAAAATTCTTGGAGATTTTATTCATAGGTAGTTCATGTGTACTATAATGTATCCAATGATTTGGATTTTTCAATTTTAGATTTTGAAACTTATATTTAAATTGATGGTGCCTACTTGAATGTGTGAGCGTGTTCATATACGTAACATGAACTGTTAAACTATTCTATGTTAATCACTAATTGAGCTATAAATAAAAATGGTCAGTGGCCTCCTAACCACAAAATATTGGAAAAGAAAATTAATTAATTTTTTGAGTGAATAAATAAATAATAATGTTACAAATAGTCTCCCGAACGAAAACCATGAAAATTTTAATAATAAGGTGTATTTTTTTAATTCACTAATCTTTGACTTCTAGTTCTAATACATGTATTTCTTTATGATTTTTTGAAGATAATATTGTTAAGGGGTAAGCTTGCTATGGTAATTATATGCCACATTTTTTTCACTTTCCATATACCAAAAAATGTGTTTAAAAAAGTTTATTATCTACCAAATATTTCCCAACCAAATGGTAATACGGTACATTAAGAGAAGTTGGATGCCACATCAGCTAATACCTCAACTTTCTATCCTTTCACTTTCCGTCCTCAACTTACCGCATCAGCTGATACCTCAACTTTGCAAATAGAAACTAATGACAAAGTATTTTCTCAAGAAAGTACTTTCCCTATAATTTTACTTTCCAGTTACTTTATGGCTGCCAAATACGCTCTAAAGAGAGCCATCATCATTTAACCCGCTAGTTGACAAAAATTTTCTCAGATGAATTCCAAATTGTTGACAAATTAATGGGATGACCAAAGATCTATGTCGTACAAGAACTAAGACATCAATGTTATCTGAATTAGTGGCAAATCCTTAGCCTAGCCAATAGTAAGAATGTGGAGTTTTAAGACCGAAAAGTCCTGGAAAAACGAAAAAGAATAGGTAGTAGACAAGATAAACACCCTCCGCAAAATCATGCTCATGCAATTAGACATCAGAAATTACATGAATATAAGGGGTGCTTGTTTGCATGGAACTGATGGAAGTGAAATTATAAGTGTATTCACTTTCACTCACTTCTAATGTTTGTTCTATTGGAAGTATTTATGAAAGTGAAATGAAGACTAAAATAGTCAAATATAATGCATACTTCACTTCCCCTACAAAAGTATGTTATCCTAAAAGAGGAAAAGAGCAGACTACAAATAACTAAAATATCAATTTATTAACATATCATTGGAAGTGTAATATGATTTTAAACAAAGAAATAAAATGACATTCCCGTACCATCTTTACTTTTTCTAGTTTTCTAGATTTGAAAGTTTTTTATGGCAACCAAACAATGTATTTCATTTGCATGATGATGTGGATGCATGTTCACCCTTGTAAAAAAAAAGTGATAGTCACATTTTTTAATTCCATTTTTAGCTTGGCGAACACTCCCATAGCTCTAAGGACGTGTTTGGAATTCACTGGGGGTAGGGGATGTTAAGGGAAAATAAGGGAGAGAAAAAAATGAAGGTAAAAGAATTCTCTACTCCTAAGTTCCACTCCAATTTGAGGGGGAACAATTTTTTATTGATTGTAGAGTAATCAAGGGGAATGAGGGGAACACTTACACTCTTAAAAACTTTTCAAATGGGGCGAATGGGTTCCCTACCTTCCCTTCTCCCATGTTCCCCTCTATCCAAACAGGCCCTAAAGGACAATGATCACACTCATAATCTGATAAGATGTAAATATAATCACGGCTTTAATAGTTTTGATGTAATAACTTGTTTGCGAGGAAAACGATAGGATGCAATAGCAACAGAACGAGTAAGACAATGATGGAAAGAAACATAACAAGCAACTAGTTCAGAGAAGATTCACAAGCAAATCCTATATTCAGCCGAACACGGTTCGACTAATGATTGGCAATGACATCATCTCTACCTCATGAACCATGCCGCCCCATAACAAATATATTTTGCCAATTACTTAATTGGAAAGCTAACATGTAGATTAGTTGAAAAAGACAAGATACTCGTAAAACCTTTTCACGCTCTTGCGCTGCAGGAGACTACACTTGTCTTTAAAACAACGATTTGATGCTGTAACGATTTGGAATTACATGTTCTATTCCAAAAACAGATGATTGAAGCAGTTGTCTATCTGTACAACAGATTCTTCAATAGCACATTTCTCCGTACTTTTTTTTGTTTCATCTTTTCCTTCCTTTTTTTGAATATACTTTTTCACAAAGTATTGGTATTGCACTTTTTTGGTACCATCCACTTTCGTCCCTTCAACAATCATAACAAACAAGGAGGTTAGGTTTTACCTTGCCCCAGTGTCTTATCTTACAAACTATATATATTAGGATCCTCAACCTCAATAAATTTAGATTCCTATACAGAAATAATGCACATATGACTACTAAATTGCATTTAAAAAGATTATTTCAGGGCATCCGGCTATATACAGCAAGTGCAATACCAGGAAAAGAGAAGATAATGGAGATAAACTAGCAACAAGGGAAAACAGAAATTACGCCTGCAAGTCATATAGGAAATCACAATATTAAAAACAGAAACCAAAGAAATCATACTTGAACAGCTGCTGCCAACCCCCCCTCTTCAACAAATCAGAACCCAGCCAGAGTGCATAAAAACATAAAGATCAACTTACTAATAGAAGCATTCACTAAATATTAATAAATAAAGCATAGAGCTATAGCTAGAATCAGAATTAACATTCATACGTAAGCATTTATGACATGTTAATGAACCCCCACATAATCAGCTACAGTCTGCGCAAAATGCATAGAAATATAAGAACTTTGATGCATAATTGAACAAAATCAGACACAATTATCTATAAGCCTAAAAGAAATAAGAGGAAAGGCTAATGAAAAATTAGCAAACAGAAATCCAGATACACAGAACATCGATCAGGCAAAGAGATAATCCCTAGATCCCAAGATTCAAACTTTCACTCGGTCAGATCAAAATCAAACCCAAGAAAAGGAAAAGGGATTAAAAAATCCGTACCTAGTCCCGGGATCGACCTCCTTCAGTAGGCCCTGATTTGGCATCACAACCTCAGACACGGGCGTCCTCATGGCCTTATCCTGATCCCCGCCAGCCTTAGCAATGAACGCCACCACATCCAACGAATTCAAGATCCCGACGAACCTCTCGGCCTTGGGCCTCGCCTCACCGTCGCTCCGCCTCCACACAGTGATCGCCCCCTCGGCGCACTCTCCGATCGCCCTTATCGCCGACTCGACGGTCTCGGAGTCGAGGAACTCGACCACCTCGGGCTTGCCGACCGTGAGATCGCCGATGACGTGGTGGAGGAATACGGAGGCCATTGGTTTTTTGTGCTAGGGTTTAGGTTAGGGTTATGAGAGGGAGTGGAGGAGAGTGAGGTGGAGGAGGAGGAAGCTGTTGATGGGCTTTGAGCGGCTTGGGGAGAGGGGAGGGAGGAGGGCGGTAAGGTTACCGCTTAGAGGGAGGGAGGTGAGGAGATCGGCCATGGATGAACGAGGGGAATGCCCATCAAAAACAAGAGAGAGAGAAGAGGAGAGAGAAACCAG